TAAAAGTTATTTAAAGTACTTCTCCTGTTTTATTCTTTAAAATGTTATTTGCACATGTTTTAAAATTAATATACTATATGTTCATAATTCATAAGTTAAGAGGTGGGAGTTCTTTTTATTGATGACACCCAATCAGACAGGTTTGAAGACCACTACATGAGATGCTCTAGAGAATGGCTTTTTTTTCTCTGCAGCTTGTAAACTTAAAATTGTGTGATTTTTTAATTTTTTCCCCTTTTTGACCTTTGTCTCTTAGCATGTAACTTGGCTACCTTTGTTGTTTATCTCCTTAGTTTCAGGAAAATACATCTATCTAATAATCTTCTGATACATCTAATTAGTAATTTGAAAGTGGCAGTGGTGACTGTATAATGACTTTCAGTAGTTTCCCTCTTCTAGCATGATGTTAGGACTTTCATGGAAAATAGGAAGGATATCTTCTTAAACGTTTCTGTGAACTCAAGGATGTAAGTTTGTATTGTGTGTTGGAAGCTGTCATATATGCTTTAAAAAGACTTCCCAACCCAATCCATTTTGTAGATGATGGAAATTGTAATTATAATCTCCAGAGTGTTTACAAGGCGTTGAGATTTCATCATAGTTCAGTATGTTTTAAAGAGATCTTAGAACACACTAAGTCATCTAAGAAGTGATTTTCTGAGATGAACCAAATTTAAGGTATTTTACCTTTTATTTCCTTTCCCCATTGTTACATTACTGTGTTTTTTCATTGTATAATTTTTCTCAGATAACTAAAATTACTTGGTAACTGTAAGTTGATAACACTAGTGGGGATAGGACAGATACATGTTTTTAAAAGTTGGAATGAATTTGTAAGTCATAGATAATGGAGAAGCAACTTTTATAGCTCATTTATCTTTCAGTTTAGCAGTCTTTCTTTAAATGTATTTATGAAGTCTTTAACATCTTTTTTAGGTAGGTAGCCATCCAAGCTTCCTGAAGGAGGTTCGAGATCACATGCAGGACTCTTTCTTAATGCAGCCTGAGGTAAGCAGGAATGAAGATGGGACTTAAAGCCAAGGTTAAAGCACTGCTGCGGTCTTTAATACATAGCTGAAAAATAATGCGCATTTTGAAATGCATTAAAATTTATTTTCGTTTTCATATTATTGACATATAGTAAGTGTAAAAGTATGTTAAAAATTTATGAACTTAAAACATATCAGATGATGAATATTTTTATTTATTTATTTTGTGCTGGGGATACATTGTGGCATTTACAAAAGTTCTTACAATATATCAAATAAGATTTCTTAATTCCACTAAATTTTACCTGTGGGGTTTTTTTTGTGGCATGCTCATTTACCTTTAGATATTTGTGTTATTCAAAAATCATTTTCACATACATGTTCTTAGTGAACAGTATCTTGTGCACAGTAGGCCTTTAATCATGGAATAAAGTCATTATTTTGTGCCATCCTGAATGATAAAATGTAATCCGTTTTCTTTTCCTTCCTTCCTTCCTCCACCTCCTTCCTTCCCTCCCTCCCTTCTCTTTCATTCCTTCCCTCCCTATTCTTCCTCCCTCCCTCCTTTCTTTTCTTTCCTTCCCTCCCTTCTTCCCTCCCTCCTTTCTTTTCTTTCCTTCCCTCCCTTCCTCCCTCTCTTTGTAGTGATGGTACTGGGGTTTGAACTCAGGGTCCTCAGGCTTGATAGGGAGGCACTAGCCTTTTTTGCTGTCTTGAGTTTTTGCCTGTACTAGCCTGGACTGTAATCCTCCTGTTTTTGCTTCCCATGTAGCTGTGTAGACAGGCATGTACTAGCACACCCAATTTGTTCTTTGAGTTGTGATCCTCTGAATCTCTCCTCTCCACCCATCCCAGTAGTTTGGATTATAGGCATGAGCCACCACATCTGGCTGCATTTTGGAGGGTTTTTTTTGTTTTTTTGGAGATATATATATATATATATATATATATCTTTTTCTTTTTTTTTTTTTTTT